CAGGCTATTTCTGGCATGTTCCGCATCCCTGTTTACGTGCCTGAGTCTTAGGGGCGGTTGAAACAATGAGGGCCTGAAAATGGCCCTCCGTTTCAGGCTGGAAAACCTCTGGGTCTGAAAGACCCAGAAATAGGCTGAAACGGAGTAGGGCCTGCAGGCCCTCGTTTTTCAGCTTTCAGGCTGAAACGACCGGGGCCTGTAAGCCCTAAGTTTTAGGCTTTTAGGCTGAATGTCCGGGACGGGCCCTGCAGGGCCCGTGTGGCTACGCAGTATGCCACACCATCATAATACACAAGTGGTTAATGGGGACCCCCACTCTACTGACATTTCTGAAATTCCTAAGAATTTCTGAAATTGGACTGTTGGCGGAATTTGCACAAAAGTGCACTACTTGGCCTTGCAGTTTTACAGTTTTTTTGCCCCTTTTGGCAGTTAGCTAATATGGTGTCCACTCCATCAATTGGTGGCAAGTTTGGCTAAACTGGCCCTTGGGTTTTGTTAAAAATGGCGTGATAAATTGTCTGAAAATTTAGGCCTCCCGCGATAAATTGTCTGAAACATTAGGCCTCCGTTAACCCTCTCCCGCTCATATCACCCCCAATGGTTCGCCCTCCATGGATGCTTTTTGTCACAAAAAGAAGGGAAAGCTAGGGCTCTGTCACCATTTCAGATTGAAAATGCTTGTCGGTCACGAGTTCGTGAATGCTGCGTCAGACTGAGGAAAGTCGTGAATGCATACAACTCATAAAAAAAAGCTCCTTCCTATAGTTGCTGGGCCTTTTTTTATGTATATAAATACATTCATGTAAGTCTTATACGGACTACCTTCTTCCCCCGAATACAACGTACAGTCATTATAGCTGTATGTAGACTGAAAGATACCCCCAATACAGCTATAATGACCGTACGTTGTTTTCGGGGGAAGAAGGTAGGCGGCTACAAGACTGCCCATCCTCAAACACCAGCATGTCAGAAGTTGGAAACCATCATAGGAATGTTGCTTATCATCTTTTTTTTCCAGTATGGCAGTATGATCAGGCTGACAATGATCATTTTCAACTTGTCCTGGTTGACCTTGAGGCAGTTCAAACTCTTGTCGGTCTTAGCGACAGACTGTACATCTGTTGAAGGTTATATTTCTGCGTAGGTTCGAATCCTGCCTCTCTCACTTTGTGGCCTTCAGACATGGTTTACATGTAATGTACTTGTGGGGGCGAAAGTCTAGAATGGATCTTTTTTTTTTTTCCCTTAATTACATATGAAAACGTTGGAAGATAAGTGTACATATAATCCCAATAGGATGTTTATCTAGAGTCTTTCTGCTATGCTCTTTGTTTTTCTCTCTTTTTTTGGGTTTCTTTTTTGTTCAAACTTCAAACCTTCTGCACCAATGAGTATTATTTTGTCACAGAGAAGTGTGAGTAGACATAGAGAATTGCCATCAGATATGATGGCAATTCTCTATGTCTACTCTTCGTTGCTAATTTCATTATGTATGATATAAATCCATTGTAAGTGATCAGTACTTTGTAAACAGCACAACCTTCCAATGCCTATATTTTGTTCAAAACCAAAGTGCATGATTTCAGTAATTATATCTTTTTTGTATTGGATTAGATAACATGTGTAATCAGAATACAAACTCCTCCATGTGACAAAATAGGTTTGAAGTTTGAACAAAAATGAAACTGAAAAAAAAGAGAAAAACAAAGAGCACAGCGGAAAGACTCTAGATAAACATCCTATTGGGATTATATGGCTTATAGATCTCCTGTGATCGCCCAGCAGATCATTGCTGGGATTATATGGCTTATAGATCTCCTGTGATCGCCCAGCAGATCATTGTTTTCATAGGGGGTTCACAATTTGTAATTCAGATCTGCTGGGGGGCTCACAATTTGCACCATAGGTCTGCTAGGGCCCATTAGACCCACGGCAAGAAAATGAAGATGGGGGTTTGACTATTACACTGCCTCCACCATGCAAATCACCGGCAACAACACTACTATCTCTACCTTTCTGCCCCACACCACTCAGGGTCTCACAATTGCCCCTCAGGTCCGCTAGAGGGGTCACACTGGCCCTTACTTCTTGTATACTTTCTGTAACTATTACAGGTCTCTTTCCTTCTTACCTTAATCTTTCCAGTGTGAAGGCAACAAGCAGATAGATAGTAATCGACAGTCAACAGGTCACAGTAATAACATTATAATCGATAACTCGTTGAATGCTCCATAAAAAACAGGACTGACAGAGGGCTGGGCTGCCCAATGCCCAGCCCCCTCATGTATACTGACAATTCATGCTCGCACTACTTTCATTGTTTAGATTGTACACAGTGGGGAAAAGCCTTTTCGTTTTTCAAATTACATTCCTTTTCCTTTTCTAAGGAAACCTTTTCCTTAGAAAAGGAAAAGGAATGTAATTTGAAAAACGAAAAGGCTTTTCCCCACTGTGTACAATCTAAACAATGAAAGTAGTGCGAGCATGAATTGTCAGTATACATGAGGGGGCTGGGCATTGGGCAGCCCAGCCCTCTGTCAGTCCTGTTTTTTATGGAGCATTCAACGAGTTATCGATTATAATGTTATTACTGTGACCTGTTGACTGTCGATTACTATCTATCTGCTTGTTGCCTTGTGCTGTTGTGTCTGTTTTGTCTGTGTCTGTATATGCGCTGTTAGACATTGGATTGTGCTGTGTGAGGTGTAGTTGGGAGTGTTCCTGAGTGTGTTTCTTTTTTTTTCTTTTCTTTTTTTTTTTTTTTGACAAAAAACATCGTGAATGGACGTAGGGGAGGTGCTGGTAAGAGCAGACACCCCCTCTACAGCCGCTGTTTGCGGATGGCTCCATTCCATTGGTGGGGAGCTGCACCTGCTGGAAACCGGGTCCAGCGACCCACAACATATATAACAGGGAGCCAATGTTTATTGTGTTATCTCGCCCGGTTTATACGGAATCCACTTTCGTGCAGAGCGATGTGTGGATCCTCGTACAATCTATTTGTCACTGAGTCTTGTGTATCATGATGAGAGGCCCTGGATCAGCAATGTAAAGCTGCAGCTAAACCATGCTTGATCATGACATTGTGCTGTTCCCCTCAGGCTTCCCCTTTCACGCAGAGCAATGCTGGAAGCCCTTATGCAAACTGTGAATGTCCCTATATCCTAATTAGAATTTGTGGACCAGCAATGCAAAGGTGTAGGTAGACCGTGCTTAAACCATGATGTGCGTAAATCCATTCTCGGCTCCCCTTTTTTGCCATCTGTGGATAACCATGCTGCCCCAGAGCCCAGTGTATCACG